TTTTCCTCACCTTTTCCAACTGCCTCAGTGACACACCCTCAACAACAAAGCCTTTTAGTCGGGTCGGCACCAACCGTGAGGACCAGTACATCACAACAGCCCCACCTACTGGTTGTCATCGCTGTGCCGGCCACGCGTGGACTTGAAGGTCTCTTTCGAAATCAAACCCATAGCGCTGCGGTGCTGTTCAAATTTGATCCTTAGTAGTGGCTTTGCAAAAGCATCAGCCACATTCTCAACGCCGGGTACTCGCTTCACATCGATTTGCTTCAACTCTATACGCTCACGCACGAAGTGATGACGAACATCAATGTGCTTCGTTCGACTGTGAAACTCAGGGTTTTTCGCGAGCTTCTTCGCGCTTTCATTGTCCACGAACACTTCAGAGGGTTTCACTTGCTTCACTTTTAAATCTCTCAACATCTGGCGCAGATGCACAACTTCCTGCACTAGCAGACTTATTGCCATATATTCAGCCTCCGTCCTGTGCAATGCCACAGTCCTTTCCGTCTGACTGCACCACGAAATCGTACTACCACAAAACTGCGTCAAATATCCTGCAACTGACTTGCGATCAACAACACGATTCGCAAAGTCAGCATCGGCAAAGGCCTGAAGGTGGTGCGTCAACTTTTGACTTTCCTGCACGCCACCAAGACACAATCCCCATTCAACTGTCTCCTTCAGGTACCGCAGTCCACGTTTTGCTGCACACCAGTGTAGATTGCCTGGGTTCTTCAAGAACTGACTGCACTCACGAACCATAAATGCAAAATCTGGCCGAGTGCCCAGCATTAGATACATCAAACTTCCAATGACCGCTCGATATGGTTTGGTCTTCATCAGCTCTCGTTCGTCATTAGTTGTAGGACACATTGACTTTGACAACTTTAAACTCACATCACTGGGAACTCTGCATCCATTACACTTGGCCATGTCAAATCGCTGCAATACTTTCTTAACATACTTCTTTTGATTGATGAACATCGTTCTTTCTTGCCTGTTGCGTGTAATATCCCAGCCAAGAATGTAATGAATCGGCCCCAAGTCTTTCATCACGAAGCGTCTGAAAAGCATATGCTTCATGACTTTCATCATGGCTTTGGTCGGCGCAAACAGTATCAGGTCGTCAACGTAGATAGCGATGAACACCAACCACCCATCGAGAACCTTCACTGCCACGCATGCCTCACACTTCAGTGGCGTGTAGCCCTCGCTCTCTAGGAACTCCTTCAGCAGTCTGAACCACACACGAGGAGCCTGCTTCAAGCCGTAGAGGCTTCTCAGCAGAACGCATACAAAATCCTCTTTTCCTTTCACTTCATAGCCTTCAGGCTGCTCCATGTAAGCCGTCACGTCGATGCCTCCGTTCAGGAAGGCAGTGGTGACGTCCATCTGGTCTACCTTGAAGTCCCAAATGGCTGCCAGCGTGAGCAAGATGCGCGGAGTTTCCAATCGCACCACAGGCGAGTAAAATACAAAGAAATCAATACCATAAATCTGCATGAAGCCCTTGATGACGAGCCTTGCCTTGAACCTGTCATTGTCTCCGTTTGCATGATACTTCACTCGAAATACCCAACAGTTGTTCAGGACCTTCATGTCCTTGGTTCTTCGCACCAGCTTCCAGGTGCCGTTCTTCAGCAAGGCCTCGTACTCGGCATCCATTGCATCTTTCCA